TTCGAAAATTTAGACAAAATTTTTTCTCATTCTAAAAGAAAAAGTTCACACATCGTCGACTAACATTTCTCTTCTTTTCAGAATAAAACTTTCTGGATCTTAGCTGGGCGATATAGGTAACCAATCTACCATGGTCAATTACTGATAGATTTTGATGTTTCGTGTTGATTGATCGCTTGCTTAAGCTAATACTCAAGTAACCGTTCTATTGACAAACAATCGTAAATTTCTTCTCACCTCTTGGTTCAAAAAGAGCAAAAAATTGATCATGCTCAAGTGAAACATTGACAAAATATTTGTTCGGAAAAAGTGACTAAAGTAGTCACAAAAACTCGCAATTGATGAAAGAGCTAAAGAATTTGTTGAACGAACATACAAATGAATTCATAATATGAATCACACGTCTTAAAAAGTGATCAATCTGGACTTGAATTAGAAATATATTCAAGTAGCACGTTGTCAAATAAAAGGAAAAACAACTACTGTATCTGTAAAATCTGTTCGTGCAACAACACATGTCCACACAGTACCACCAATGATAAACATGGATGGTCATCTTGTTAGACCTGTGTATTTATGTTTAAAAGCACCAATTGGTTGTATTGGTGAGCATGGTAAAAAAAGTATTTGAATCAAGAAAAAGGGGCAGCACAGGACAAAAAGGGGAGGCATCGACAAAAGTGATTCAAGAAAATATAGCTTTTTGTTCCAGATGTGTATTACGTTAAACGGATAACAGCTTTGTATCTATGATATATTACCAATAACGTATTACATAAAATATTATATCTCCCCAAATATATCATATTACTTACTGGTTAACCATTTAATTGTAAGCTTTTTTGTTTAGAGCAAAATCAATTTCATTTTATCACTAACTATTGCAACTGTCCACCTTAGGCATTTGACGAGACATCAATCGATCCATCATATCAAGACACCGTAACTATTATGTGTTACTATAAAAACATTGAATTAAATTGCGAAAATATTCAATATACAGTTCGTTTATTTGAAGACTTAACTCATATTTTAATCATCACCTACTGCTTGACAACATTACAACAACTTTATTGAAACATAGAATTTCTGATTTTGTCAGGCGCTGACTGTCACCATATTCTTGTGAAAAAGGATAGTGTCCGTCAAATCTATAGCATATTTATATTTTGTATTGATACACAAAAATATAAATATTTAAAAACAGTCTATTCTAAAATTTGAGGTCTTTTCCATGGGGAATCGTTGTTCTCAAAATCCATTCAATTTCAAACGGACGTGTTGAAAAACAAGTGACTGTTCTCATATATAAGAACCAGAATCGGCTTCATTTCAAATTTTCTCGAAAGGTGTCCAGAATGAAAGAGCATGTGATTTTATGATGTTCTAGATCCTTGGTTTCCCTTCGAAGTTGATATCTGTAAGAAAATCGATTAACTTTGAACGCAAATCCATTGCTATGTGTTTTTGATCCTTTTCTTAGAATAAAATAAGTTTGACGGAAAGTTTTATATACCATACGGTGCAGCTTTACGCGACTAACAAAACGGTCTTTTGCTCAATTGTCATGTACACTGTGAACACCTACTTTTTTGAATATTCCTGTTAAAACATGACCTTTTCAACATAGTCAACGATAATATTTCTATTTTTTCACCATGAAAGAACTTAGGATTGCGGTCTACATTATGTAGCAGAAAGAAGCTCTTTCAAAACTCTACAAAATAGTTGGTAATTCGTTTCTAGTTGAAAGCACGAACACTCACTTTTTCGGATATTACTGTTGGAGAGTGATATTTTCGCCATTGCCAGATAGGCTCAAATCCTATAAAACCTACCACCATTTACATCAACCTTTGACGTCAGTGACGAGACTTACCTCATATTATAGAACTCAGCAAGCTGAACTGAATGGTGGGGACCGCAAGTCTCTAGTTATGTCAGAACAAAAGTTACAGCCATTTTACTCTTGTAGCAGAAAAATACAGTTTCGTCATTTTCCGGCGGATTCGGCCTAACTTGTAGAACATCTGCCGACCACATTCCTTAACACGGAACCTTGAAGTTGGTATCAAATGAAAGAGCGCATCGACTTCTACATATTTCGATGCAGAAAAGTTATGCTATATCGCGGAGTCTTGAGATGGAGATTTCGGAAAATCTGGTTTTCTACAAATTTAGTAATCTTTTTGACACTTTTTGACACAGCATCGTAGAACCGTTTCAGAAATTTCAGAAATCTCCGTCTTAAGACCCCGGGGTATAGCATAACTTTTGGTAATATAGGTAATCGACGACGCTGAGTCTCATGGCAACATTTGTTTTTCAAATAAGTCCCAAAAATCTGCTAGTACGGATAAAAAGCATGAGAAATAAGAGACAAAGAAAGAAAAACTACGTGAGGAAGAAGAGGAAAAGCATAAAATGATGCACGCTAAAACTTACAGTGTTGCACAAAAGTTAAGCAAAAGCGTAAGAACAGTATAGAGAGCATAACAAATCAAGGTGGTTAGTTTAATATTTAAAACGTTTGGTAGCAATTATGTATTCGATTACCGATCTAACTACAGGCATATAAGTATCCTTCTCAACAGGTACATTAAGAGAGAGAAGAGCCAAACTAAGAGGATTGCCGGTGGGTAAGAATCGTAATTTATTATATAAATGATTTCTAGAGAACGTATAGCGGGGATAATGAAGTAAATAATGTTGACGTGCTTCTATTTCGCCACATTGGCAACGATTAGTATTAAATAAATACTTTAGACAAAAATCAGCATTTAACTGCGAAAATTCAGTCCTTATTTGATAGTAGACGACATCAGTTTTTCGTGGAATTGTAAACTCGATAAACAGTTGAATCAGTCAGTATATGTATTTTTTAAAGATTTAACAAAAATAGCTAGAGTTTTGGACTCTTTTATGTTTTGTTGTAGAGCCTTTCATTTAGCGATAGTAGAAGGAAAGAAACTTTTATTGAATATTTCTCTTTGACTCTGAATCAAAGGTATCGATTGATTTGATAACTTGTGGAATACCGATGTGTTATCTTGCTTGGTAAATATCACGATAAATATGGAGAAACAAGTCCTTTAATTATTTTATAAAAATAAATTTATGTTGAAGAAAAAGTTTATCTAATGGTAATCAACCTAAACAATGTAAGATTTTTTCTTTACTTGACAACCGCAGGGCTTCATTCACAGCTAACACAGCCTAACATTGTAGGGTACATAACTCAGTTAAAAGACCTTCATATGTCGAGGTGTAGATACAAATAGTATAGCCTATTGTTTGTAGAGAAAATGAACTATAAATCTGCTCAAGAACGATTGTAGATAATGTACTCGATTTTACCTGCTCAGTACTGTGCAGTGCAATAAAAGCTTTCAAAATCAACAGATAAAACTTTGATTTTTGAAAAGATTTTCTAGAAATCTTCGGAAGTACAAGAGTGTTTGCACTATTCGCAAGTGAAATACTGTCTTGAGCAGGTAAAATAGAGTACATGTTGATATTCTGACATAATTTGGATGGATGTTGAGTGGTTTATGAATATTTTAATTTTACTCAAAAATTGGCAAAAATAGGTTATTTCGCCTAAAATAGGTTTTCACCAGGTTTTTGAACTTATTTGAAAAACAAATGTTGTCATGAGATTCAGCGTGGTCGATCACCTATGTTTCCATTCATGTTTGGAATTACCACACCTAAAGAAATATCGATCCTGGGACTCTCATGAAATCCGATGTCACGCCTGAATCAGGAAAAATTAAGAGTTCGCTTAGCTCTCGTTTTGAAGAGGACACTTTTTGGATTATCTATCTGCGAGAAAAGTTGATAGAGCACTATCTCAGTTTCCGGAGATCCGAACTAGTTTTTCAAAGATTTTCTATAAAATGGGTCTTTCAAATGACTTCGGAAAATGGTTTTGTTTATGAAAATATAGGCTAAACTGTTCTTTTTCGATCACTGAAAACCGCAGGTCTCTATATTTTGATCACTACTTGCCGATTTTATCCATCAAAGAGCCTTTTTAGGGACGCCGTCAAAAATAATTAAACGTGCAGAGCGTAGACGTAGACTATATTCTATGTACATATTTCTCTAAGGGCAGGTATAGATGAAAATCCTCCTCATATTTTGTGGAAACAAATAGATGACGTATCTACGGAATAGAACAAATTTTCATTTTCTGTCCACAGAGACGTGGCGAGAAAAAAACTCAGGGCGTGGAAACTTAAATCGTAAAAAAAGGCTCCTTCAAGAAAGGCTATGAACATGAGAAAGTAAGAAATCCAGAAAGCGGAGTGAGGTACTCTGTTGTACCCACATGCACATATCTATCAAACACTCTTTCCGAAAACAATGAATTTTACTTTTTCCAGAAATGAATGCGTTCTACATTTTGCGAAACGGAATGTACCGCTCATAACCCATTCATTTTTCGACCAAATTACATAACTCTTTCATCCTTAGGGGGTTTTATTCAAGGAACAAAGCGAAACCGAAAGGACACAAAATCAGAATGCGTTAAATGGTGCCGTATACGGTAATAGGAAGAAGTTGAAAATACTAGCTCAGAGTGTTTTATTTTTTTCGGTTGATTTTGAAACAGCATCACAGCTTCTGACCTATTGTTTCTACTGTTTAGCCTTAAATCTCCAATGTCAAGAAAAACGTTTTGAAGAAACTGATCAGCTTGTTAATGACAGGGAAATTGATTATGATATGTTATCGAAAATCTGTGTAACAATTGAATTTTGTTTGAAAACGGTTGGTTGTTGAAATACTCTCGTGACTTTGATAACCTCTCTAATTCTTTTTTCGCTTTAGACACTAACCCACTAAACATTAGACAAACCACGAACGAAAAATTTAATATTTTATACGGATATTCTTAAACTTGCTCTGGAGTATGATTCGTTTACAGCAATAATACATTTAAAAGCAAAAGTGCAAGTACAATGTTGAGCTGCAGCTCTTTATATTCTGAAAATTGTCAGTATGATGCTGAAAACCTGCAAAATATTCGGTCATGAGCCATTGAACGAAAAGAGCGATCTATACTGTTCAACTGATATTCGAATTTTTCGACTAGGTAGCTGGAACATATCTAGGAAGAGTCCCAAAACGTTTTGCTTAGAAAGTACTTCCTTCCAGACTTACAGCATTTTTCATAAAACCCATAAAAACAGCAAAAAACGATAACTACACGAAGTACAATTTGCTTTACTTATATGTCGGTCTGGGAATCAGATGAAGACATCATATTTTATACATAAACGGTCTATATGAAATAGTAAATGTAACCAAAAGCATGTCTAATTTCACCCTTGCAGATATGCAAGTCTATGCCCACCACATGAGAAAAATATTAATAGCTTTCAAACTTTTCCCTAGTTTTACTATGAAGAGCAGAAATATTTCACTAAAACTGAATTCGACAGCATAGAGCACATATAGATCTTCTAGAATTTATAGCTTTTATCTGGAAAAAGTCATTCACTGGGTTTGCAGACCATCCCACAGTTGAGATAAAGTAAAAAATAGGGGTTTTTTAAGTGACTTGTAGCATAATAACTAAAAGGAGTCAGATTCTCGTTCAAATAGCGAAAGATACAGCCGACGACTTGACTTGTCTTAGCTTAGGTAAATATATATATGTATACATTTCGGTTGACAATGTATTGGAATGTAGTTTGTTTTAGAAAACGCTTCTTAAAACAAATGTCCGGTTCAATCGACCCTTTTCTTAACTAATTCTTACTCATCAGCAGCGTGCATGTCTACACGGCGAAAATAAAAAGTGAAACTCATGACGGTTTTTATACGCGGTTTCTCGCAGTCAGTTTGACATGGTTTTTTTTCACGGTTTTGGTTGTTGATGTTTGTTTTCTATGGTTCCAATATAACAGTTTTGCTTTGGCGGTTTTAAAACCGGTAGAAAAACCGTCCAGATAAAACTGTGCAAGTAAAACCGTCTACTTTGAAACGGAAGAAAAAAAGAAAAAGAACAGCTCCTCCAGGAATCGAACCTAAGACGCTTGGCGAGTATGAATTATGAGACCAAGGCACATCCCTGTGAAAAAAGTCGTGTCATAATGAGTGACTTAGAGTTCGTTAAAAGGAACTTCCTAGCTCAACCAGGCGATCAATTGTCAATTAACAGAGCAACTAAAGACGATTGTTTTTTTGCTATCTTCGTTTGTAAATTTTTAAATAAGTATCGTTTTTGCGCTCAAAAATTTCACTTAGAATTTTAATAAAACAAAGCTGTGCACCACGAAAGGAAATAAAAGTGAAATAGAGAATTTCATTTTATTCAATCATTTAGTGTGATAACAGTTATCAGAAATGAGCGTTAATTACGAAGAGAAATATAAAAATTTAAAAGTAAAATACAAGCAAAATAAGATCGTATTAGTTGAAAAACATAAAGAATTAGAAGAGATGAAAAAAAATGCTTTTCGTAAGTGTTCTGCGTTTTCCTCATATTCATCATTAGAGCACTAGCAAATAAGGACATATCTCTTTTCACATACGATATCTCGTGTGCCAACATTTTTTTGTCTCAGCGCGTCGACTGAAACGAAAGAGAACAGAAAGATATGCATGGCTATGCAGTATCTTGTAATATTCACTACCTTTCCGCAAAATGTAACAGAAAAAATGCAGCAATCAACAGGAAAAACATACGATCACTGTAAATTTGAAAAAAGAGATGAAGCCTGTGATTACATACTTCACGGACTTACTCAACGAACTTCTGTATTCTGTATGTGATTCAGAGAAAAGTAGGTGAATAAACCACGGACTCTTCTTTTTCTCCATAGGTCTCTCTTAACTAACGCAAAGTGATGTCACAGCAAATCCGTTTTTACATGTAAAAACAAAAAAAAGTCAAATCCTTATTAAGGATATGACATTGCCACAGACAAAATCTTAAGCAAATATATATAAAGTCACAGTTAAAACGTGACATTATTTTTCCTGACGCCACGCTTTTCTTCTGACTTTTTATGTTTTTGTAATGATTTTTCTTACAGTGAAAAACGCGTTCATAAACTAGTTTTCAAATGAGAGCTGTCAAATTATGATTATGCAGTAAAATGATGACTTTTCACTGAAAGTTCGAAATTCTCGATCTTCGACATTAAACAGAATTTCAACAGAGCAAACATCTCAGAATCTAAGAAATTTAGAAACGCACTATTCCATAAATTCCAAAATGTGTAGAATTCTAGAATCTCAACCCTTTAGAGTAGCACAGCAACAGAATTTTAGAATGTCTGAACAGCACTATTCGATGAATACCAATATCCCTAAAATTTTACAATTTCAGAAATTTGGAGTAATACTGTTCCATGAATTGCAAACTATCTAGAATTTTACAATCTCAGAAGTTGCGACTAATACTATTCTATCAATGGAGAAACATGTAGAATTTCAGAATCTTAGAATCTCTGCACAGCGCTATTCCATGAATACCAATAACTCAGAATCTCAGAAACTGAGAATAACACTATTCTATCAGCACAGAAACAGGTGGAATTTCAGAATGGTAGAATCTCCACACAGCGCTATTCCATGAATACCAGTATCTCAGATTCTCCGAAATTGAGAATAACACTATTGTATCAGTACAGAAACATGTGGCATTTCAGAATGGTAGAATCTCCACACAGCGCTATTCCATGAATACCAGTATCTCAGAATCTCAGAAATTGAGAATAACACTATTCTATCAGTACAGAAACATGTAGAATTTCAGAATCTTAGAATCTCTGCACAGCGCTATTCCATGAATACCAGTATCTCAGAATCTCAGAAATTGAGAATAACACTATTCTATCAGTACAGAAACAGGTGGAATTTCAGAATGGTAGAATGTCTGCACAGCGCTATTCCATGAATACCACTATCTCAGAATCTCAGAAATTGAGAATAACATTATTGTATCAGTACAGAAAGATGTAGAATTTCAGGATCTTAGAAGCTCTGCACAGCGTTGTTCCATCAATACCAATATCTGAGAATGTCAGAAATTGAGAATAATGAATGAGTTGAAAACTATTTAGAATTTCGGATTCCCGGAACTTTAGAGTCGCACTGTTGCATAGATCGGAATTGTGAAATGCTGACTTCAAACTCTTCTCACTGCTGAGTTCGTTAAATTGTTCTCCGAGAAGTGTAAGCGTATGCTTGCTTTATTTTGTTTTGACTCTTGAATATCTTTACAGTTTGACATTTTTTGTTGTTGAAGAGTTCGCCATAGATTTATCCAGTGAATTGAGTGTTTTTTACCTGTTCCACTGTTATAATTGGATTGTTATTGTTGTAAAGTGATGGGTATGTAAACGAGATCTAAGTTCTTTTTAGTTCTCATTTAGTTTGCCTTACAGATAGCAAGATTAAAGATCTGAGAAGTCTAACGATCACAGACTTAAATCGTATTTTCAAAGAATATCCAAAATTAGACGAATTATCTAGTGTTATAGAAACGGATACAATATACCGTCTCCAGTTAAATGACATAAGCAGAAGTAAGTTTGTACAGCTTGTTTTCTCTTAGTTCAGCCGTGAAAAGGCCTCATTTATTTTCAATAGATGATTGGAAAGTTGATATGTACCTTTGGAAGAGTGGTAGTTGGAAGACGCCCAAAAAGAACGACTCATTTAAGAAGAAATATTTCACATGCATCAACAATGATGGAATATCAGATAACAGATTTGTTAAACACGTTTATATGTCCAATTCAAATATATACGATGTGGTAGTGGTTTATGCTGGTAAGGTGAATGCTCATTAACTTGAACTTGGGTAATATGGATTTTTCTCTAAATTTCTAGGGAATAATACAATTTTCACACCTCGGCAACATGGCAATAGCAAGAATGAATCTAATCATCTGTATACTCGCACACTTCCATCAACAATCGACACGATTAAGCAACTAGTACAAACGAGACCAGGGGATTCTGCGTATAAACATATCGTGGCAAGCGGAAGCCAATCAACACCTCGGAACTCCAACCAGGTGAAACATTACCGAAAACAATTTCTTCAAAACCAAAGATTTACTCACGACGAGCTACTCAATTTGATCATTCTATCATATGAAACAAAAAACTATATTCGACTTTACCAAATACAACCTGAATTTACAGTTGTGATAATGCATGAAGAAGCCGAGAAACAATTCTATCATTTGTTGTCAGTGGTGGAAAATGAAGATAATGTTAAAGTACCAATTTTTTACGATACAACGTTTAAATTGGGGGACTTTTATGCGTCTGTAAGTACATTAAACTTGTAATCGATAAATCAATTACTCCTTCTGCTTTAGGTTATGGTTTACACAAATATTCTATTTCAAGAGCGACCAACGATCCCTCTCTGTATTCTGTTACACGATAATAAGTCAGAAGAGTCACATCTACAGTTAACAAAATTATTTTCAAACAACGCATTAATTGAAAAGAAATGTGTATTAATCAGTGATGCGGAATTATCGTTCAAAAATGCATTTGCTAACCAGTTCCCATCATTACAAATGTTACGGTGTTATAATCATTATCAAGAAGATCTGAAGAAATGGTTAAAAGCAGATTTTAATCAGAAATATCGAACCGTAACACCACAATTGCCCACAAATGTGACTCCAACGGCAGATACAACAAGTAATGCAGCAACAACTTCTCATGATGCAACATCAAATAATGAGGTTTATACATCAATGAAAAGAGATTATGTAAACAATCATGTTGACGACGTTATTAACTTATTACACAGTAACTCATTACAACATTTTACTGACAACTATAATCAATTAAAACACCGATGGCCAGAATCATTCCACGATTATTTCTCAAAATATCATCTACCGAGGATAAATGAACTTGGTGAGTTTATAAGTTTTTCGCCTATTCCAACATTCCATTTAAATTTCTTCCTTGAAACAGCAACTCTGTTGCAACAGAACTTGCCTCCTGTTTAAATTAAGACTTCAGTCGACAAAATGAGATTGTTCTTTAATACAACCAAAAAAAGTTTTTTTGGGTAATTGAGCTACGACGGGGAAAACCAATTTCCTTAGGTTACTCGAGTTACCCAAGGGAGTTTCTCGAGGGAATTCTATTTTGATCATTCACTCGTGGAAATTATATTATCAGTTGGGTAACTCGAGTTACCCAAGGGAGTTTCTCGAGGGAATTCTATTTTGATCATTCACTCGTGGAAATTATATTATCAGTTGGGTAACTTGAGTTTCCTGGAACGTTTATTTGCAAAATTCTTATCTTAAGAGATTGTTGTTATATAGTCTCTGTTTTAGGTGCATGGAGTTCAAGAAAGCTTGGTCTATATGATGAATTGTCAGGTGTTACTAAAAACTGTTCAGAAAGTTACAATAGCGTAATTAAAAGTTGGGTTTGCTGGAAACAATTAGCTATGGACGTTTTTGTGCAGATGATGTACGAGTTAATGGGGTATTATATAAATGAGATTACTCAAGGATTGACCGGTCATGGTAAGTGTCTTCATTTTGTATTATTATAAGTCACCTGTAGATTGTCTGTAGGTGATTATCATTTGGTTCGACAGTGGGCTTATTTAAAAACGAAAATTCCATTGTTTCGTCGGGTGGTGTCCTATCATCCTGAGGAAATTTTAGAGAAATTTAAACAAAAAGTAAAACCGGATGCGCAACAACAAGCATTTATTGAAGGAGTTAAATATGGTCGTCCTCAATCACCTTTGACTATCGACAATATTCATGAAACGAACGACAATTGGTTACAACAAATAGATGTTACCGATGTTGAACCGGAGACAGAGACAATTTCCATAAATTCAATGTCGGAGGAAACAACACGAATAACCGATCAAACTGTCGGTCGATCATCGCTAACAGTTACCGCAAAAGCGTCATTATTAATCGATCAAGATTTTGTTAATTTTGATGGAAAATTAAGATCGTTTCTTGTACGATCTCTGGACGACAAAGACGTCCATGTGATTCACTTCAGAGATCCCAGCCGTTTGTTTAAATGCTCGTGTGCAAATTTAACAAAAATATGTTCTCATATAAGTAAAATTGCTTCTGATATATAAGATAACAAACTAGTAATTTTTAGATAATTGCTCTCAAAATGTATCTGAAAATGCCGATGAAAGAATCTGAGAAAAAAATGAATGCTGGTCGAGAACGAAAACGAGTGATTACTGAAACAAAAGAAGGTCAACCTGGACCAAAGCGTCCTAGACGAAGGGACAAAGCAAGAAATAAGTTATATGAAGAAAGAGAGCTTATTGAAAATTTGAAGGCACCACTACCAGCTGTACTGGCAGTAGCAACACCTCGTCAACCTCTACAAGCTATTGGAAATGTTGTTTTAACCGCACCATCGTCTTCTACCGCATCAACAAATTATATTTTGTCTAATTCGCAATCACCATATTTTCGAAATGTTTCGCTTCGACTATCTTCTCGTTCACAATCAGTTGCACCTTCGTCTATCATGCAATCGCTTCATCAAAATTTTTCTGTGCTTCCACCTACTCGTCAAATATCACCCACAATACCAATTATCATTCCACCTTCCAGTTATAGTGTTAGCCCTCTCCCATCTATTCGTCCGCTATCAAATTCTATGATTATCAGACTTTCATCACCAAGAAGCAGTATGTCAACCCCACATTCTGATACACAATAGTAGCCATTTCTTCCATCATATATGAACAGTGTGTTTTTTCATTTTTTTGGTGTTAAAACTGTTGTTTGTCATTTGTTCTTGCTCTCAGTGATTTTGTACTGATTTTTAATGCGGTGCGAAGCAAGACCGCATTCTATTGTCTGTCAAAAAACCAGTGCACTCTGATAGTTTTTGAATAACTCAGCATCAAATAAAGATAGATACTTGCGGTTTTCACCATTCGATAGCCAAGGCTTGAGGGGAAACCTATACTAGGTGAAATAACCGATTTTAGGTAATTTCATCAAAAATTAGAAGATTCATAATCCAGTCAAAATCCATCCCACCTACTTCACAATGTCCGAAAATACTCTATTTTATCCTCTCGTTCTGATTCTGTACTTAAAATCAATAAAAAATATTCTCTTTGTTCCGAAGATTTCTGCGAAACCTTTCTAAAAACCAAAGTATTTTCTGTTGGTGTTTTCAACAGGTTTTGAGGTTTACGTTATGCTGCAGGTAAAATAGAGTATTTTCGGACATTGTGAAGTAGGTTGGATGGCTTTTGACTGGGTTATGAATTTTCTAATTTTTGATGAAATCATCTAAAATGGGTTATTTCACCTAGTATAGATTTCACTCAGTCTTTGCATTTTGTTCTGAAAACTAGCATTGCCACGAGATTCAGCATAATCGATCACTTATGTTTTCATGTATTTTCAAAGGTCCCACACTGAAGGACCGGTGAGTCTTACTGCTTCGGCGAAAATCTTCAGAGTTTCCGGGCTGAGCAAAATGAAACTTTTGCTTAGATCCGATTTTGTACAGGACACTTTGGACTATCTATGTATGGAAAAAATCAATAGATTCCTATTTGAATTTCGAAAAATTCAAGCCAGTTTTCCAAAGAGCCTCTGGAAAACTTGCTTCGAAATTTTTTCCGAAAATCGTTTTTGCTTGTGGAAAGATACCCTCAAGTCTTGGCTATCGAATGGTGAAAACCGCAAGTATCTATCTTTATTTGATGCTGAGTTATTCAAAAACTATTTGAGTGCACTGGGTTTTTGTGAAAAGTAATAAACTTTCCTTTCTTTCCTTTCTAGATCGAAAAAGTGTCATTTTCTGTAACGGTTTTCTTGGAAACTAGAGGGAGTGCAGTAAAATTTTCAACGCGAATAGCGAACTGTGTGTCTGAATTAATAAATAAGCTGTTTTCAGTCTTTACAGATGTTCCAGTGGAGAGTTGAGACGTTCGGAAGTACTTGATTTGAACGTCTGGGACTTGTTACTTTTTTCTTCAGAAAAATCGATAATTAATCTGAGTCATTCATGTGTAGGTGCATTTATAAGAGAGTACGTTTCCCTACTATGTGATTCATTTCATGATAATCTGTTTATATGTATTCAGCGAATAATTAACGCAATGCCTAGGTTCTAAATACATTACTATTTTAAAGACGATTAACGCAGTATGTAAGATAAAATCTCTAGACTATGATAAAGTTTAATGCTTTAGACTGATAAATCATTATTTGAACCTCGCAACTCTTCCCGATTTCGGTAATCAAAACATTTTTTTGTTATGCAGGTAATCTACACTTTCTTCATCAGTTATGTGGTAGGGCTGCTGTATGTTATTAAACAAAATCTTCACCTCCGATTATCATATTTAACTGCTTCGCACCGCATTTGTAACTCTCGCTGGCGTGATTGCCATCTAGTTTAAACAGTAATAATCAAACAATTCATCTGCTCAATTGTGTGTTTTTCACATCAGGATTATTTTCATTTTTTTTTTATTGTTTTTTTGTTACGTATGTCCTTCTTTCTTTGTTGTTAAAGTCATGACTGTTACTTATTGTGTCTGAGTTTTCTCAAAGATTTTTGATCATCTGTAATACAAAAGATAAATGTTTGTCAAGAAAAATGCCCCTGAGACATCATAATTCGAGAGCTCCTATAATAGAAATTTTTATTAAGAATATCCCGCTGTTATGACAAAATTTTCAATTTTGATCAATTGATTTTCAATTTTTTCAGATCTTGTTTAGAAATGTTTACTTATGAATATAAACGGAAAGATAGTCGAACTTTGGGTAAATGTACATATCTTCATGTCATCACACGATCTAATTATCTGTTCTTATAGTGTTAATCTGTGATCAAATTACAAGTCGGTTATATGGAAAAAACATTTATTATCCGGCTGTTAATCGGTTTATACAAAAAGATATGAAAGATTTTGTTATTAAAGGTGAGTAGACTGTTAAACAACGATAGTGCTATAGATTCATTTCATTGAGGTCAATCTGGTGCTACATTATCAACTAATTCTCAATATCGAAGATATAAATTGGGACAAAAGTCAGATGGAGCTATTGAATTGAAAGTAGATTCATTTAAAAGTGAAAAAGAAGGTGAGAAAGAAAAGCCATTTCAAACATTGTTTATTATCGAATCTGTATCTAGGGTGGAAACTGTATACGGTACCAGATAAAAAACACGAAGTTCAATTGGTCGTTGGAACTGTAATAAAAGAATTGGATGATACTGGGTTTCTTCCATCGGCACAAAAGTGCTACGACTTGTTGAATAATAATGACAAAACTTGTTTTGATATATCGGAATCACATACCAAAAAGATTAGAAATCTTTTGTGAGTATAGACCAAAATAAGAGATTTTGTTTATCCTGTTTTTCTCTTTTTACAGGTTTGATTACATTAAAATCGTGAAAAAAACAGATTCAGTTAACAAAGATTCCGACCAAAAACGGTAAATATTCGTTTGATATAGGGAAGCCATCTACCTCCTTTCTACGAGTGGGACAATCCCACATTTGAACCTTTGTCAAACTTACTGGCATTTTCTTTATCTCTCCTCACAACCAGTCTTCGTTAGATCCAACTTTTTCGAAAGGCTTTATTTCGAACTTGTTTGTTTTTTCCAGTGATGTTGAGAATGATCCGCCATCTCAAAATGAAGATGATGATGATGATGCAGATTCTCGTCAAATTCCCATTGATCGTAAAAAGAAGGAACCATTATCAAACAATGCCACCCGACGCAGTACAACAAAACAAAAATCAGATGAACAGAAAATGATAAGACCACCATTGAAACAGGATATACAACAGCCAGTGAATATACGTTCAACAAATGATCAATTGGTAAAACCAAAAGTATCACGTGAACTATTGGCGTTACAGACATGGTTTTAAACAAATAAAAGAAAACTGTTATTCAGATTATATCTTGTGTCATATACATATTTTTTTATATGTGTTCGTCGATTTGTTCTCAAAATAAAAAACATGTACACACGAGTGCATGGGATGATCAATATATGTATATAAGTTATATCTAGGAAGAATCCCTTACACGGTCAACTGTCAATCACTGGTTTTGACATTACTCGCTGACTCCACTAGCTAAAAAATCCTATGTCGTGAAACCAAATCGAAATTCTGTTCATTGTCGTTTCTTAACGTTATCATTCACCATTGTACTCTACTAATGGTATCATCTATTATTTTGTTTTAGATATTCCATGTTTACGCCTTCAAAACAAGCTAATTAAAAAGATCCATTTGGAATTCGGTTTCTTTATGAAGTGTCTGATTCGAAGTATGCGCTTTAAAATGTCAAGAATTATCTTCACTATTACACAAATTTATTTATTTTCCAGTCAGATATTTAAGAAGTTCAAAGACATTACTGTCGTCGAACTGGAAGAACACTTTCTTCTGACTAACGTTCTATGTTTAATGCTTTATGCTCATCTGGTTGCATATTCGAACAACTTAAACATTCATCGGTTACACGCTATAAGAAACATAAAAGTAAGTTGTCGTTCGCCGTTTTAACTTAAAGAATACCTTATATGTAACTGAAACTCTTGCTGTTTTTAGATATTCGTCAACAAAAACATTTATTATCAATACCTTTGACAAAATGGCAATCATTAATGGTATGATTTATAAAGATATTTCTGATAGAAAATAATCTGATACAGTTGCTGTTTTACTTTTAGTGAATCGCAACACCAATCATCGTAAAAGAAATCAACCATTATCAAACAATGCCATCCGACAACAACGCCACAACGCCAGTATAACAAAACGAAAATCAGATGAAAAGAAAAAGATGAGACCACCATTGAAGAAGGATATACAACAGCAGCCACTGAATATACGTTCAACCAATGATCAATTGGTAAACCAAAACTATCCCGTGAACTATAACTCTAACAACAGTTGAGAATGATCAAAACAGTATTCTCTTGAGAAACTCCCTTGAGTAACTCTAGTTACCCAACTGCTAATATAGTTTCAATGAGTGACTGATCAAAACAGGATTCTCTTGAGAAGCTCCCTTGAGTTGTTATTTCATTCGAAACTGTTGTTCATATTATAGCTTGTGTCATATACATATTTTTTTATATGTGTTCGTCGATTTGTTCTAAAAATAAAAACCATGTAAACACGATTGATTTGCGATCGCTACAGTGCCAGAAAAATTACTGGAAGACTTTATTATTCTGCTGGTGAAAAGGAAAAACTCTATTTTAGTCAGCTTGGAAGTTGCTGAGAGAGACTAAAACAAGTGCTTTCCGGATAGGGATACCCATGACAAAATACAGCTTTTTCTTTGATACGAGTGGTATTTTATTTTTTATTCCACGAGAAAATCTCGGCGATAGTCAGTCAGTAAGGCGTTTTGGCGCGGTTGAAATCGGACTTAAGATCGAGACTAAGCCATATTTTTTGTAACAATAATTTTAGTTTGTTTGTGTATAATATACCGCCATCTATTTCACATTTAATGCTTGAAAAAGAAACAGCTCCACCTGTTTTTTTATTAGTTGCAGGTAATACAAAAGAATACAGCATTTATTTTCCAAATGATTACGATTTATATATTTAAAGTGCAGTGCCATTCTAAGTCGTTTAATCCAATCAGCGTTTAGACGCTGAGACGCAGACGCTGTTTCAAGACGCTTTTTACCATTACCCCGCAAACCTAGTGCAAGAAAATAAGTAGGAAAGAAGAAAGAAAGAATAAGCAGGAATTATAGTAATATAAGTTGTAGAAACAAACTATCATTTTTTAAAACTATACATATTCACTATCGTGAAATTATTTATATACTTTCTCATTTGTTTTTCTACTGTTCATGTAAAATGTCCGTCGATTTGACGATCCGTCATCGCCTTCAACAAGATACTATTAAATCGGTTAAAGTGGATAAAATTAATTCTACACTTTATGAGGTTTATGAATCCAAGTTTCCAGTCGATGAGTATATTTATCAAATAAAACCAAGCAAAGATGATCTGCCTGGTGCTCTTCGAATTGAAATCATCAGTCGTAAACCTTGTATATTTGATGAAATTACAGTAGTTATACCAATATAATATAAGCACAGTTCTTTGCTTAAAAATACGCCACCGTCTTGTGGATATGAAGCACGAAATATATAAATAGGCGCGATCGGAAGACTTTATAGACTTCTCTCAAGTTTTTGGTATGATCAGTAAGAGAAATTATTTCTATTTATCTAGGATCACAATACAATAGAATTATCGAACTTTTACACCGTACGCATGAATCGTCGTTTTTTAAAATCTGTTTAGAAGAAAAATCATTGTAGGTGTCTGCCAAAGTTAGCCTGTCATATCTCTCTAGAAATCAGCGCTCAGTAGCTTTTTTCGTTTTTTTTGTTGTAGACTTATATATGTGTCAGCGTCCAAACTCCGATTCAGTCCAAACTGAGATTGGACTAGGCCAATGCAGGATTGGACGTGAAAGTGAGTAGGCCAATCTCAGATTAACCTAGTCCAATCTCAGTTTGGCCTGAATCGGAGTATGGACGCCCACATATACATTCTTTTGAGCAAAACCAACACATGTCTAATTCCTTTCATCTTTTAGAAAGCAACGTTCCGATGGATGACGTTGATACAACTCCTACTACAGCAGCAGCAAATATGTATCTACAGAATGCTTTATGTATGTCAGACAGGTGTATATTCTATATTTAACTGCATCAAAAACATTTTCGTTTTTTCAGTGGATCATAATGAATTGATTAATGAGAACCAATCCGATCCTCTATCAACGCCCGAAATGAATTCGGAAGTCACCCCAGGTAAAGTTAATAGATCTACCAAAGAAAATACCTTCTACAATTTTTTACTTTAACTTATAACCTAACTCAAAACACACTACTTCCGTTATTAGTTACTACCGATATGTATGGTGCTGCCGGTATGTCCGGAAGTTTGTCAACTGTACCTCCTCAACCACTGGATGCCACTGGTGTACCACCAACAAATGAAGATAAAAGATGGAGTTAACTAATATACCGACAACCTTTCGTTTTCGTTATGAAACGGACGTATATCCAAAGACGGTAAACCGTCTGCATCCGGAGTAAATTTTTTTGACTACTTTCACTTTAAACAGATCAAAATTTAAAACTTAAAAGTTGTTTTTTTTAGCCAGTTAATATGGAAACATCCTACGTATTTGCATTCTGGTGGCAAAGGCAGACGACCTGAACTGAAGGTTCGTTCTTTTAGGTCTTGTAAAAAGTCAAAAACTAAGCACTATTGGTGATCTTTTAGATTCCAGACTCCTATGTTAAAAAAATATATGATCAGTCTGCGAAGATTGGCCTTAATGCTTACACATTGACCGAACCAAGAGGTAACAAAAATCACATGCATGCTACCAAAAAATTTCTCGGCTCAAAAATTGAACCACGTGAACCATTGCAAAATCCGCTCAAAATTCAGTTAAATAAAGATAATGTTACAAATGGAAAACATACGTAAGTTAAGAAAGAAAATTTCTTTAGCAAAAAAGGAAAGTAATTTTTTACGTTTGATCTGTTTTTTTGTTAAAGTTTGCAAGTAGCAATACTAACACTATCAGATCAAAAATCAATGATAAATATGGAATTAGAAATATTTGGTGAAGATCTGAATGGATTTGGTGAGTAACTAGATTATGGACATACGCTAATATTATATAATCTCCGCGGCGAACTTTCCCATATAAAATTTTAGAACGTCCGAATCCACCGGTTGATTATGATCGTGTGCGCATTGCATGTGTTCTTACTGAAAATCAAAAGATTGATTGGACTACGCTAACAGTTTCCGATGTTATACAACATACACTACTAATCGGGATTAAAAAGTCGGGGGACAAATCGGGATTAAAAAAACGTTTGTCGACCATTTTGGAAAAAAAGTGTCGACAATTGAAGGTCCGTCGATGAATCGGGAATACACCCAATTTTGTCAGTCAGCAAACCTACCGAAATACAAGTCGATGGAAACTCTTACCCAAATAAACTGGAACAAGTTGATTTCTACTATTCTTACTACTAACCCTGTTGTCCTTTCTGATTTTCTTCAAAATAAACTTTCAACTCTCTATCTTTGTGAATATTGTAATAACCCTTCTCTTCTGCGTCAAAGACGTGAAATTTTTGGTCGAGGTAGACCTCGGAAAAAGCTGTTAAACATTATGAATCAAGAGCGTTTGTCATTGTTCGATTATGTTTTTTGTTATGAGAAAAATGTACTGTGATTTTTTTCGTTCCCTTCTCTGTCTTCCTTCTGTACAAAGGAAGAAGTAAAATTGTAAACTATTAAAACTCAGAACTATCTTTCTGTAATTGTATGTTCAATTTGGGTTTTTTTTCCGTTTTTTTATGTTTATTTTGTCAGGAACGAAGTTCGTTCAACAGTTTCTCCTTTTCTTTTATGTACAGTAATAATAATAAAACACGAACACACACACACACAACAGATGTTTCAAAATGAACAGTAAATAAAAAACAACTTTTTTTTAACCTGTAGCAAGGTCAAAGTTTGTAGTTCATCATTCTCACGAAGTAAAAAGATAAGCTACAGTGTTGTATATTTAAAAAGGAAAAGAACAAGTTACATAAAAAGAAATTACGAATTTAAGGTCAGACTAAAAGAGAGAAAGGCTTTCCATGCTGCACATAATCGCGGATGATATTGAATTTTGTAGACGAGAGCTTTTGAGCATTAGTGTTGCGCAAAGAAAAGCAAAAGAAACCAAATAGAAGAGGAGAAATAAACATCTAATTTGAATAAACAGAAAAGAAAACTGACTGACTAAAATTTTTTTTTTAACATCCAGAGAATATGGTAAAAGTAGAACAAAGAAGAGCAGAAAGTGAGATGGACAATATGCTCTCAACAATTGATTTACTCCTTGTTTTCTTGATTAAACAAGCTTATATTACAGATGTATGGCTTTTGTTAGATATTCATTTTCCACTATAGTGACAGGTAACCGTTACGAAATCCGAAACGATGTTAGTGTTTTTAGATTATATTAGGATTTAACGATACATTTTTCTATGTTATTTACAGTCCTTCAATCGCTTCTGACGATAAGCTAGGATATCCAGAACTTATAAACGATGAATAAACTAAAATTCGCGCGATAACTGGAGTGAGATTTTTGTTTCGGAATTTTATGCACTCATCTAGAAACTACTCTATTATGAAAAGAACAACATTTCTTGTCTTGCTTTTTGTCTCTGAACAAGAATGTCGTCGCCGAAATTAGTGGTGTAGAAATAAGATTCCCGGGGTACCGCCTTTGGTCGACGTTTTGGCGATAAAAAAATTGTCGATGAAACAGGAATAAAATTTTGTCGACCAAATAGGAATTTTAAAGTGTCGTAGAAACGCAAAAAAAGTCGACGAAGCAATAAAATCTCTTAATTAGCTTTAATTTGTTAACAAATCGAGACTGAATCACAAAATTGGATATATGTTTAGAAGTGATTGATAATACGGACGGATATATGTGTGGCAGTGGAAATTGGAATTCAGGCGAATTCGAAATTCCACTAGTGCTATATAGAATTACAATCTCCACTCTCAATTCCAATTCCACACGAGTGGAAATTGGGATTCTAATTTCCACTATAGGGGAATTCGGAATTCCACTAAAAATAAAAATCATACAGATTATTCTAATTTACACTATAGTGGAAATCAGAATTTACTATAGACACTAACCCACTAAACATTAGACAAACCACGAACGGAAAATTTAATATTTTATACGGATATTCTTAAACTTGCTCTGGAGTATGATTCGTTTACAGCAATAATACATTTAAAAGCAAAAGTGCAAGTACAATGTTGAGCTGCAGCTCTTTATATTCTGAAAATTGTCAGTGTGATGCTGAAAACCTGCAAAATATTCGGTCATGAGCCATTGAACGAAAAGAGCGATCTATACTGTTCAACTGATATTCGAATTTTTCGACTAGGTAGCTGGAACATATCTAGGAAGAGTTCCTTGGCTTAAAAAATATTCACAGCCATGCTCACAAAAATATTCATTTTTTGGAAGAAGACAATACTAACAATGATAGAAATGCAGATCTTGATGGTGACGATAATAATGATAAAATAGCAATGGATTTAGTTGAACAAGATGAAACTGCAGATTCACAATTAATAGGTAGTAGTTTCCAAGAAAACAGTACATGTGAATCAATTCAAAGAATGTATAAATTGAAAATGGACATCATCCGTAGAATGATGAATATGAGGAAAACGCAGAACACTTACGAAAAGCATTTTTTTTCATCTCTTCTAATTCTTTATGTTTTTCAACTAATACGATCTTATTTTGTTTGTATTTTACTTTTAAATTTTTATATTTCTCTTCGTAATTAACGCTCATTTCTGATAACTGTTATCACACTGAATGATTGAATTTAGTTTAAACATGCCGCTATACACAAGCTGCTTGAAAGGAATAGAATTTTTATGTAATTTGCTTTTAATAAAGTCAATGTGGTGTGAAAAAGAGAGTTTGGCATCAAGAATGATGCCAAGATCTTTGAATTTTGAAACATGAGAAACAGTGTGACGCTGACATTGAAGATCAGGCATAATAGGATGCATTTGGCGATGAAATGAGATCCAAAAAGTTTTTTGAAAATTGATAGATTGTTTCTACATCTCGGAATAACAGATTAGTCGATTGAGAACATCCGTTACTTGTTCAACTAGCTTCGGGATTAGGAAGGAAGATGGCCAGTATGCCGAAGGAGCGAAAACAATTTTAAGGTCATCCACAAATAAATGTTTCCAGAAGATATCTGAAAAAGTGTTTAACAAATCATAGTGATACACAATAAAAATGGCAAACTACCCTGGGATACTCCTATGAACCATCCAACTCTTAGTATCCATTTATTGATGAATTTCAAAATATTAGAAACGACATTAGTCAAATATATGAAACGGTTGTAGAACAATTAAAAGAAAAGTATAAACTATTAGCCGACTCCAGACTATTGAAAGGCGGTAGCGTTCACGAATAATTGATAATTCGACAACTAGATGAATTTGATTTTATGATTGAAACCCCTCAATTAGTCGACAAAAGTGTGCTTTCATTTACAATTTCAAAAGGTACAGGTAACATTAAGTATCGTTGGAAAAACGTTGAGTATACTCAATGATTTGTTGTCGATTGATGCTAAGCAGAAAATCTCCCAATCTGATATTACGCTAGTTTGGTACGTTGTTAAAAAGACGTGTGCACAGTTATTCGAAGAGTTATTACGACAATATGCGCTGCCAAAGTGAAAAATGAAAAAAGCTTATCTGAGACAAGGGGTAACTCCGACCGCTGTAACAATTTATTTAAATTGGAATAACACATCTGATGTTGAAATCAACTTTGTTTTTGCGATTCCGGCACGACTTCATCCTTTATCAATGGTGATACTGAGGAACTGCGTTCATCTGTTTGCTTCATTTCCCACCAATGAAACACATCCCCTTAATCAATGTACTGTACAGAAACAATGACTGCACCTGTCCTTACCACGGTAGACGATAGAAAAAGTGAATTTGCCAACACCTTTCTCGTACACAGTGTAACTGCATTATTTGCTAATTGGAACCAAAACGACTCTCTCCTTAGTAAATCTCTCTGAGATCTGTCTTCCATGGGAATTTTGGAATAATTTTTAGATCATTAAATAGCCAAGACTTTCAGCTACAAAAGCCCCTAAATTCGGTAAAAATCGATTCAACCCTCACTGAGATACTAAAGTTACAAGTTAGACAAATCTGGTTTCGGTTCCAATTAGACACTTTACTCTCTTGTTCCGAAGACAGCCAATCATTTACCGTTTCTATTTTCAATAGCCGAAGTAAATGGGAAACTTTCATTCATTTTATGTTGACGTGTGCATAGAACCATTGTTTCGTTTTCATTTTATTACATAAGAATGCGTGCACGCATACATATTCGCTCGTCAGAACACGCAGACCATCATCATCTGCAACACCAAGGTCTCTCTACTGCATTCACCAGGATCCCAAAGCTTTAATGAAATGTAATATTTTAAACAATCACTTTATCAGTCAATCAATCAGGTTAACTAATTGAATGTATGAAAATGGTGGATAATGGGACCGAAATCGAACATGTCATGGGAACACCAAACAACCCGTATATCACTTTCTTTTAAGGATTTCTGCAGAAATGTGCGTTTTTTGGCACTTTTCTGGCCACACTGACGCAACGCCAGAAAACACACGGTACTTATATACGTTTTCTTGCGCTGTACTTTTACCCTGTGACAATAAAGAAGAAAATGATAGCTTTTTATATGGACTACGTCAAATTTCGATTCTATGTGTTCTCACCTTTTGTCGCAAAAGTGTTCCCGACTGAAAAACTAAAATCAATGAAAATTTATATCTCTATATCTCCAAGCTCGCATTTACATTTGCCTTAAAACATCGCAAAATAAAGATGCGCCAAAAAGTGACAACCTGCAGGGCTCTTTGGAGAAAAACATCTTTTTTACAGTATATTTTGCGATGTTTTCAGATAAACGTAAAAGCGAGCTTGGAGATATAGAGATATAAATTTTCATTGATTTTAGTTTTTCAGTCGGGAACACTCTTGCGACAAAAGATGAGGACACATAAAATCGAAATTTGGCGTACTCCATGTTTTGGATTGCAAAGTGTGAATTGTGACTAAGATATATTATTTCTCTATCATTTCCCATTTCGGCGCCTATTCCACGAGTATTTTATCCATGATTTTTGAATGAACAATTTCTTAGACCGAGTTCTGCTATTGTTAACAGAAAATGTCATACTGGAATGATGTCGAGCAGAAAACTGTTCCTAAATAATGACAAATTACCATTTTTTATTTTGTTACATTCTCCATCTAGCAATGATA